ATACATTTAGTGATTTTACTTTGATATGCCAAGTTGATATTGGTTTTCTATAAGCTTCTTGCATCTGTATAGGTTTGTCTTTCCTTAATTGGAGAAGTTTTCTTCTATAACACTGTTGAAGATTTGGTCAAGGCCATTGCCCTGAGATTCTTCTCCTTCTTGCATGCCTATGATGTGTAGATTTGGTCTTTTGATGGTTTCCCACATTTCCTTCATACTCCATTACTATGTTTTTTTTTTTCATATTCTTTGCTTGAGCAGTCTAGTTCTTCAACTTCATCATCCAGTCTTGATAATCTGTTTTCCACTTCAATCATTCTGTTTGTCTTTCTCCTGTAGTTTCAGATTTTGTTCTGTAATTTCATTCAGCCATATAGTTATATTTTCTTGAGCTTCAGTCAGGAGTTTTTTCCTATCCTCTTTTAGTTCTTTGAGTTGTTTGTGTGTTCTTTAAATTCTTTGATCATGTTTATATTTGTTCTTTTAAATTCTGTGTTCTGGAGTTCCTCTAGGTGGCTCTCATTGTAGTACACTTCTGTAGGAGTGGTGGGTTTTGTTGGGGACATATTCTCTTGGTTTTTCATATTATTTTTGTTTTTGCATTGTCAACTGGGCATATGGCTTTCTTTGATTGGTTGTATGTCTGATATGAAATTCTAGTCCGCCTTTGTTCAGTTGAAGTTTGGTTTCGTTCATATTGTTGATGTAGCTTGGTTGTTTGTTGCTCAGGCATGAATAGTTGGTTGGTGTGTGCTTCGGGATCTTGCTTTTTATTTTTTTGTTGGTGGGTCAGGATGGTTCCAAGCTGTTAGTGAAATGCTCTTTCTTGGGACAAAGGGAATTCAAGGCTATTGGGGTCCAGTGGCTGGGTTCTCAGGGGATAGTGAGGGGTTCTTAGGCAGGAAGATCAGGTGGGTGTCATAGAGCAATGTGAGTAGGGTCTAACTAGCTAGGGGGAATAGGCATGAGGCCTAAAGTTGGAGAATGCAACTAGTCTGGGTACAGGGTTTTAGGATACAATAGGTGGGGATTTCAGTTGGGAAGGCAGTCCAAACATCTGAGGCAGGAAGAGCAGGAGTGGGCTTAGGCCCAAGGTTGGAAGGTGAATTGCATAGGAGAGAGAATGGATCTGGTTAAGGTGTAGGGGAAACAAGCTGCAGTGGACAGAACCTGTCTTTCTAGGGTAGTATGTAGGTCCCTGGCAGGCAAAGTGGGAGGGAGTAGAGTGGGGAGATGAGTGCCACTGGATTTGGACTACTCACCCCTGAAGACCAGATGTGGAGTCAAGCATTCTGAGGCCAGTTCAGAGGAGTGGGTCCAAGGCCCAAGAAGAAGGTATAGGAAGAGGCTTAGGGTTAGGGTTAGGGTTAGTAAGGCCCCTATTAGCTAGCAGGGAAGCATCCATCATATTTATTTTTCTATTTTTCATTGTTAAGGTACTTTGCTCTTATTCTTGAGGAAATGAGAAAATCTTACCATTCCCTCAACAAATCTCTGAAGCTAACTGAAGTGTGCTTCCTGACAGAATATGCTGAGCATATATACCCTGGAAATGGGAACTAGTCCAGCACAAGTAAAATATTTTAGTGGGTTCTCCATGCCTACAATCAGTTTTCTTTCTTCTTTTTAAGATTGTGTGTGTGTGTGTGTGTGTGTGTGTGTGTGTGTGTGTGTATGTGTGTGTGTTTACTGTATGTCAAGTGTTCATGGAGGCCAGAAGGTATTGGGTCTCATGGAGCTAGAGTTACAAGCATTTGTGAGGCATCAGACATGGGTACAGGGATCTGAACCCAGTTCCTCATGACTGAGCAGCAGCAAGCACTTTTAACCACTGAGCCTGAGCTATCTCTCCAGCTCCTAGCTAGTTTTCTTAATTCTGAGACTTTTATACACAATTATCTGGAAGTACTGATTTTCCATAGAGTTTGGATGTGTTTTACATTTATGAAGTGAGAAATCTTTTTAAGAACTATTTTATTTATTTATTTTTTAAACTTCATTTTATTTATTTATTATTTTTTTATGTGTATGCACGTATTGCCTTCATGTAGGTAAGTGCACCTGTGTCATGCAATGCCTGTGGAGGTCAGAAGAGGCTGTCGGATCCTCTGGGACTGGAGTTGTGGACAGTTGTTAGCTGCCATGTGGGTGCTGGGATTCAAACCTGTGTCTTCTGCAAGAACAGCCAGTGTTCTTAACCGCTGAGCCATCTCTCCAGCCCCTTAAGAAATATTTTGTTCATTATTTTTATTTTATGTGTATAAGTGTGCAAGTGTGCCCATATTATGCAATGCTCGAAGAAGTCAGAAGACGGTGTTGGATTCCCCTGAAACTGGAGTTATGGATGGTTGTTAGCTGCTATGTGGGTCCTATGAATCAAACCCGGGTCTTCTGCAAGAACAGCCACAGCCAGTGCTCTTAACCACTGAGCCATCTCTCCAGCCCCTGAAATGAATAAATTTTATATACCTAAAATGTGAGAAATGCATTACTGAGCTTAGGATAGAAGATTAAGACATCAATAAAAAAGAAAAAAATTGTACTCAGTCTGTAACGCTATGCTTTTGACATGATTCTTGCTGTGTAACACCAAAGTAGACCACAAATACCATAACCAACAAAATGAAAACTTTTATTCGGTATGTTGGCAAAATAAAAAAAATTCTAGCAATTAGCCAAGAATCATCCAGAAATCAATCAAAATTCAAAATTACTTAAATTATTTTTCAAACTATACTTGCCATAATTCAATGCTCTCCAGAACTGGACAAGCACTTTACACAGAGTGTATATGGCTTATGGTTGATTGAAGAGGAAAAATAATTTTTCTTCCAGAGATTGGATTCGATTATAACAGAAGACATACCAGAAAAGTAAAAATGATCTGTTTTACTTCAACTTATTTTCACCTACAACATCATGCTGAATCCTTTTTTTAAAAAAAAAAAAGATTTATTTTTAAATTATGTGTATGTGTCTGTGCATGGGTATGTGCACATATGAGTGCAGGTGTCTGCAGAACCTATACGAAAGCATCAGACACCCCAGAGATGGAGTTACAGGTGGTTGTGAGCCACCCTATGTGAATGCTGGGAACAGATCCATCTCTCCAGGACCTGAATTCTTAACGTATCTATTCACCCTTGAATAACTTCAACATTATTAAGTTGATCTCATATATTTTAACTAATTTTATGACATTTAAAAATTTGAACATGCTTTAGTCCATTTTTGTTGCTATAACAAAATGTTCCAAATTGCGTAATTTATAAAAGCGATTTATTTCTGACAGTTCTGGATGCCAGGAGCCCGAGATAAGGCTCGAGAAGATTTAGTGTCTGAGTCTAAGATGATATCTTGTTGCATTTTTTGGAGGAGAGTATGACATTGCCCTGCTGTTCTGGAAGTCAGTGAAGAAAGGGCCCAAATTTATATGAAACATCTTATAAGGGGATTCAGGAGGAAGGAAACTTCATTACCTTATCACCTCTTGTAGCTAAGTTTCCACGTAGATTTAGAGGAAATACATTAAAAAGAAGCTAGGCATGAGTTCTAGAACTATGTTTTAGAATTTTACATTGTAATGTTAATATGTGTATGAGTATATTGCCTGCATATATGTAAGTGCACCTGTGTCATGCAATGCCTGTGGAGGTAAGAAGAGGTCAATGTCTGCCAGATTCCTTGGAACTCTAGTTATGGACAGTTATTAGCTGTGATGTGGGTGCTGGGAATCGAGCCTGGGTCCTCTGCAAGAGCAGCCAGTGCTCTTAACTGATGAGCCATCTCTGTAGCCCCATACTGTTACCATATTTCATGCATCATTTATGTTCAAAATTTAAAGCAATAAAAATACTTGTATTGATTAATGAAGCAATCAAGTTGCATTACATTTCAGAAACAAAAATTAATTTTTTTGTACTGATTCCTTCACAGTTAATCTTAGTTTGCTTTCTATTACTGTGACAAAAGTCTCTGAAGAAAACAATACTTGGGGATGAAGGGTTTACTTCACCTTACAGCTTATATGTAGTTCATCATGAAGAGGAGCCAGGGCAGGGGCTCAAGGCAGGAACCTGGAGGCAGGAAGTGAAGCAGAGAACATGGAAGAATGCTCCTTACTGGATTGCTCCTTTAGCCTGTGCTCAGTTTGCTTTCTTATATAACATAGGACCACATGTCCAGAGGTAGCATCACCCGCAGTGGGCTAGACCCTTCCTCTCACCTCACTCAACAACCAAGAAAACGCCCAACATACATGCCCACAGGCCAGTCCAATAGAGGACATTCTCCAGCTGAAAGTCTCTCTTCCCAAGTTGACAACTGAAGCTATCTAGCATGGATTCAAAAGGCATTCCACATTGTTGTAATTTGTGAATGGAAATATTGCCAGATCATGAATCATTATTAACATCACCTCCTTGGTCTCTCACTAATTTAGATGAAATCATGCTCTTAGTATATAATGGGAATGTTAAGATCTATATATTTTACTCATTTTTCTATGATTATTTTCATGCTTAATTGTACATTTTAAATAAAAATATAAGACTGCACAAATTGTTAATAATTACAATTTATTTAAAAAGTAATGACATTTGCATACATTGAGGTTGATAAATTTATGTGACTTTTGATTCTGTGATGGATAGTGAGCTTTACACACAGTAACAGGTTGTAGCCAGGCTTCCCACAAAGACTTGGGCTAAACTTGCAGAGAATAATGAAATATTTCTTCAGTAAGACTGATAATAAACCTGCTGATATTTGCCATGGATTTTTTTACAACCATTGGCTTGAATTAATTGATTTACATTATAATTTACACAATCAGATTTTAGCTACACCAGCTACAGTTTTGGTATGTAGGAAGCAGAATGGAATAATTCTAGTATATTTTCACAGGGTACTAATATTAGCCAAGTATAAGTATGACACACTGAGATTCATGAGACAAGAATGAGCTATAAAATAAACCCTCTAATTAAAAACTAATATGCTCACTGCCTCTTGGAATCGAAAATATTCCTCATGAGCTTTCCTAAGGCCATCTTTACATCCTTATTCCGCAGGGTATAGATGAAGGGGTTGAGTGTGGGAGTCACTACTCCATAGAAGAGAGCCATGAACTTGGGCTGGTCCCTTGTGATGGAAGAGGGGGGCTGAAGGTACATGCTAATGGCTGGGCCGTAAAATAAAAGAACTACAATGAGATGAGAGGAACATGTTCCAAAGGCCTTTTTCCTTCCTGCAGAAGATTTGATCTTAAGTATAGCACGTCCAATACTAGCATAGGAAGCAAGTACTAAGCACAGGGGAACAGCTAATATAAAAATGCATGCCATAGACAGTGCAAGCTCATTGGCCTCCTTTTCACCACAGGCAGTCTTTATCAGAACTGGAATCTCACACACCAAGTGATCCAGTTTATTGGTTCCACATAGTGGCAACTTCAGTGTAAGAGAAGCTTCAGAGATTGCATAAATCATTCCAGTCAGCCACACAACAGATGCTAAGAGGATACAGACACACTGATTCATGATGAGGGTGTAGTGCAGAGGTCTGCAGATGGCCACATAGCGATCAAAGGACATAATAGCCAGGAGAAGACATTCTGTGCCCCCCATTATACTGAAGACATAGAGCTGAACTACACACCTTGTATAGCTGATGGTCTTTGTGGAGCTTCCCAGGCTAAACAGCATCTGAGGCACAATACTTGTGGTGTAGCACATGTCCAGAAAGGAGAGGTTAGTGAGGAAGAAATACATGGGGCTATGGAGATGTGGGTCTAACTTGGACACCAAAATGATGGTGATGTTTCCTATCATGGCCATTGGGTATGTTACCAGAAGAATAATGAACAGAGGGAGCTCCAGCCAAGAACAGTCAGCAAAGCCAAGTAGAATGAACTCTTCAGGATGGCTTTCATTAGTTAGTGTCATTATAGTTAGTTTATTCCCAAAAGTTGCTACCTAAAATGGTAGATAATTATGAGAAATGATCAAAGGTAATTATGGGATGGCTATGCAGTTCTAGCTGATGAGGTGCCATAAACTGGGAGACATGAGTGGTCACATACAGAGAACTCCATTTCTGTTCCTGACACCCATAAATTAAAGGTGGTTGCCTTCAAGAAGTAAGCTAACCAAACTTAAAGTGAATTTCTTCCTCTATATCATAAGGATCACATGACAGCAACTATCATTTCGTTCCCGATGTGATTAACTTGAAAGTGGAAAGGAAGGTGTTTTGGGAACTCAAAAGTAATGGTTTCCAAACTTGGTCGTACATAAAAATCAGTTATAATGATTTGTTTTTTATTTTTATTGTTAGGCATTTGTTAGTTGATGTGACATGGAGCTGAAGGGTCACATGGTTAATTTTCAGAAGTAACACTGTAAGGCGTGTCTGAACTCTTCATGAGTTGAAGTATCAAATTTGCAAAAAAAAAAAAAGAAAAAGAAAAATCAAGGAGGAGAAAACCTGGAGCTAAAAGAATCAAGAACACTTTATTTAACATGAGTTAGGTACGGGAATAATTACATAATCTCCACGTGGTGTATGACAACTTTGGTGTTAAAATATATATCTCAGCTATTTGGAACTGATTAAAAATTTACATGCTTTTGTCATCATTTTCTAAAGGCTTAAGAACTTTAATTTTTTTCAAACTTTGGACATTTGATATTTCATGTTAAAATTTATTTATTACATTACATGGTTTGTTTTTTTCTTTTTGGGGGGTGGTATTTTTGAGACAGAGTCTCCCTGTACCCACAGCTAGCTGGCTTGAAACTCAGTTTGCAGAGCTAGCCTTGAACTCACAGAGCTCTGCCTGCCTCTACCTCCTGATTGTTTGGATTAAAGGCATGTGCCACCCTCCCCAGCCCTACTGCATGTATGTTTTTATTGAGAGGCCCTGTCATCTCATTTTTTTTTACCAGTTTGACAATTATCAGGGCCCCACTGATTACACACAGCTGCTAACATATTTTTGGATTCTATTTAAGTGCCACTAGGACAAAAGTCAGTTTCCTAATTTAATCTGCTGATTTACTTAAATCCACATTATTTTATATGTTTAGGATATGACAAATTTCTTTGCTTTTAAGTAAAAGTTACATTGAAAACAATAACACTCCTTACCTGGACAGAGTAGTATACTTTGAAACATAACTTAGATAATGAGAGTTTTTTTTATATCATTATTTTCCTTTGGTGGTGAAGTGTGCTTCTTGAAACTCACTTTATTCTGTAAGAAAAGTCATATTAACATCAGGCATTTATATATCATCCTATTTATATATCATCCTATTTATATATCATCCTAGCAATTACGTTATTAGGTGACAAAAATAATTTTCACCTTCCCCTGTTCATTAAGTTATTAATATTATCCTTGTAGGTGTCACACAAAGCTGCTTAGAGCTTGATATGAATTTTGTTCTTTGATTATACAGTATCTCAGTCCAGTATTATGCAAACAATATGATAGTTCTAATTATTCCCTTAAGAACCCTGTGTACCAAGCATTCCCATAAACTTTTTTATATCCATGAAATCAACTAACACCCACCTCTGAATCCCATGACAAAGGAAGATTTAGTATATGTTTAGTATGTAGTTATTCATTCCTAGTGTCTACCAAGAACTGGAGAGATTCCAAGGGCCAAAGGCAACCAATGCCTTAAATAAGATCATAAGAAATCAGGATAACAAGTTCAGAGTTTTAATAGTTCACAGAAAGCATCTATGCTTCAGGAATATTTCCTGAGTGAGTGTGGCCCTACATCTTATTGAGCTGACATTATTCAAAATGTTATTTTGGTACCTGAGTTTAAGATTATTTTGGTACCTGAGTTAAGTTTAGGCTATGCTTTTTCCAGGTGAAAACTATGTTGTGTATGAAATATGAAATAAGCATAGTGTGAATTAGATTATTAAAATTAATATAATAAATGAAAATCTGCCTATACCAATAAATAACTGTATTATCATTTATTATTGTCCATTCATTTGTAGTATTATATTCACTTTTGCTATTTTATACATTGCACAGTCTTTGAATCATTTTAGATATTATACTCTTCAAATTCTTCCAGAATTGATTGTGTTTATCTTTAATGACATCATTCAGTCCACCATCCTTTTAGCAATTTTATTAAATTTGTATTATTTGGAATTCTATTTGTATTATTCACCTTAACAGATATCATTTTGTTTATGAATTATAATCACCCTGGTCAAAAGATAAAATTACACCAAATTTAGCTATATTTCTTGGCGTTTTCATTTGGAATTCACAAATCAGGGCATACTTCATTTTACAGGACAGAACGAAAGTTGTCTATGGGAAATACCACAGCTATGAATTTTGCAAAGTGGGAACAAGGACATGAATAACCAGAAAATAACATCCTCAGCTTCATAGCCAGTTTGAGGACACTTTGGCCTGCTTAAGAACCCCCTGAAAGCAAAGCAAAACAAAGCAAAGCAAAACAAAACAACTCATTGTGTAGTACCATGTGTTTCAGGGTGGTTTTTTTTTTTTTTTTGAGATAGGGTACCCCTATAGCCCCAGATTTCCTATAAATTTCTATGTAGACCAGGCTGGTCTCAGTCTCACAGAGATTCATTTGCTTCTGCTTTTAGAGTGTTGGGATTAAAGGTGTGTGCCACCTGCTCAGAGTGCTTTTTAAAGAAAGAGTTAAAACAGGGAAGACGTCCTTATCTGTGGAATCAGGGAGACTGGTATCTCCTCTTTCCAGAAATGGTCACTTGTGAGATCTGTGTGCTTCCTTAAAGCTGTTTAGGTTTTCTAATTCTCCCCTCAGATATCTTATTTTTCCATGCCATTCTCTTTATCTTTAGTTCCCGGAATCTATGATGTTTGAATCTTCTTCCTGTTATTTTCATCACTGTTTCAGTACATGTAAATCTATTTATCTACAAATTTCCAAAGTCAGTTTCAATGTGTGAAACTCATCATTTGACTTCTTCTTAGTATCTTCAACTCACATTTTCATGGTGGTAAATACTTCATTTCATCACACATATTGTTTATATTTGTAGTACTTTTAGCTTTATATTAAAAAAAGAAATGGAAATCATTTTACCTGGTCCCCAAACATCTAAATGGAATATACAGACATTTAGTAATGAGATTTTAACCAAATATTAGAAACTGTTTCATGTAGTATGTTTCAAGACTTCCTACTTCATTCAGGTAATTTAACATCTATTAGATACTATGTTTATTGAAATTTAAATGCATTTAAAGTTGGTCTGAGAGACCGAAGGACAGATTAATTATGAAGAGAAATCTAGTTGTTTCTGGATACACTTAAGTAGGTATTTCCAAGTTTATAGAATATTTCCTGAGATGAAGTGATCTGTGATTCTCCTACCTGTATTATATACCATTTTGGTAAATATCTTTTAGTAAAAAGAAGTTAGAAGTTTTTAGACTTACAGAGAAAAGACAGAGAAACTTTTGTCCACAGAATTAGCTTCAGAACATCTAGCTTTTCAGTTGATGAAGGGTGACAAAGAGAGAACCAGGGGTTAAGGGAGACAATAGTAGGAAGATTTGAGAATGCTTGTGGGCAAGGTATTAGTGTGCAGTTGCTGAGATCCCTTGGGTATTCTTCCCACACAGGCCATCATTTATCCTCCTCCCAAAAGAGTTAGCAGAGACAGTTTCCTGGGACAGAATTATCTATGGAAATGCTTCTTATGTGTAATTTTAATCTACTGGAATGAAGTTGAGAGAATGTCTTTGTTAGATGTGATCTAAAACATATTCATCCTATTTCCCAACATACTAGAGACTAAACAGCATAGAACAGTCACTTGTTATTCATGGGGAATTGTTTCCACGAGGACTCCTAATGGATAACAAAATCTGTGTACACTAAAATTCCTTTGTGAAATTTCATAACATTTGCATATACTCTCTATATATCCTTCTTCACAGTTTAAATCACTTCTGGATTATCTATAGCATCTAATATAATAGTAAATGTTATTTAAATGTTATATTGTTGCTTAAGGACTTATGATAAAAATGCATGCATGATTTTTGCAATGGGTAGGACTCAGGTGATGCCTAAAACAAAAACATCAAAACATTAAACTTTTTTTGTCATTTTGTCTAAAACATTTAACATTTTCATTGACATATATTCATTGCACATAGGGATGGGTGCACAATAACATGTCAACATTACAGTTATACCTGGATGAACAACCTAATTCTTAACTTTAGTTATAAGTGGGTCTAACCTTGGAGGGCACTTGTTCCTCTAGATCTCTCCTGGAACTCTGCTGCAGAATCTGGTCTCACCTATAATTTTATTCAAAACCATTTCTCAAGCTTTAATTGGGAGAACTACAAGCTAGAACCCACCCTATGAGACAATCTTGCCCTTACATCTCCAGGCCTAAAATATCTCATACATACAATGTCAAGCCTTCTTCTCAGTCTTTACTGTTTTCAATGGAGTTATGAATCTCAATGCATTGTCTTTCAGCACTTTGTTAGTTGCCAAGATACGTACATTTATTCATTATCTTTGGTGGATTGCAATTTGAGTTTCTGAGGGATTAAGTTCAGGTGCCTAGATCACAGGAGCACAAGAGCACATTTTGTTGTAAAAATCATTCCTACAGTTCCTGTTTCATTCTATAAATGAAGAAGCATGTCCACTAGGGTGGTCACAGGTGGTGGGCTGGTAACAAGCAGTGGACTGGTTATGGTGTGGTGTGGTCAAGGGTTGGCATAGGTCAGCATGATTTTATTTAAGGTCTCTGGAGTAAGTAGAATGGTCAAAGCAGCATTTGAGGAGAAGGCACTCAAACAGGAAGATATTTGTGTGGGAGAAATTCAGGAAACCATCTCCCTTGCCAGGGTGTTGTTTTCTGGTGCAGCTTTACCAGTAAC